TAAATAAATAAATAAATAAATAAATAAATAAATAAATAAATAAATAAATAAATAAATAAATAAATAAATAAATAAATAAATAAATAAATAAATAAATAAATAAATGTTCCTAAAGGGCATGGGAAACAGAACTGATCTACAAAGATTTGTGCATGCACATGGCAAACAGTGGAATGAGAGGAACCACTATCACTCCAGAGACTGGAGTGAACATTTGAAGGTGTAAGCAGCCTACTATCCACATACAACTCTACTTGCAAAGGTAAAGGTTCCCCTTGCAATTTGTCCAGTCGTGTCTGACTCTAGGGGGCAGTGCTCATCTCCGTTTCCAACCCATAGAGCTAGCGTTTGTCTAAAGATAATCTTCTGTGGTCATGTGGCCAGCGCGACTGGACATGGAACGCCGTTACCTTCCCACCGTGGTTGTACCTATTTATCTACTCGCATTTTTGCATTTTGCATGCTTTTGAACCACTAGGTTGGCAGGAGGTAGGACAAGCAACGGGGGCTTATTCCATCATGTGCATTCAATCTCACGACTGCAGGTCTTCTGACCTTGCAGCACAGAGGCTTCTGCAGTTTAACCTACAGCGCTACCATGTCCCTCTACTTACAAAACCTCTTGCATAAAATTGTGAGAAAGCAGGGTTTCGTATTGCAGAGTCCCCTACATGCATAGAGGGGATCCTATTCAGACTTTAAAATCAATGCATAGAGAGGCTGGGGTGGGTCTTGCCACTCCAGTAGGGTGGCCACGCATCCTCCTTGGGCTATCATTTAGAGCACTGGTTCTTAACCATGGGTTACTCAGGAGTTTTGGACTGCAACTCCCAGAAGCCTTCACCACCAGCTGTGCTGGCTGGGGTTTCTGGGAGTTGCAGTTCAAAAACATCTGAGCAACCCAAGGTTAACAACCAATGATGACAGTCCTTCAGTTGAAGGCATTCTATATTTGAAGAACTTTCCAATCCAAATCTATTTTAGACTCTAAAAACTGTAAGAAGGAAGAGCTGAGGCCTTGAATGTAGCAACTATAGGTGCACAAACCACATGCTCCAGTCTTTCTTATTATGTTTATGGTGTATTCCTATTTAAATAATAGTAATTATGTGTAAATATAAACTAGCATATACAAATTTTGTTCAAATGTATATTGTATTTTGTCCTATTTTTTGTGATACATGTCCTCTTTTCAACAGTCCTAGACTAGCCATTTTTGCCATATTCTGCTTTCCACCCACGCTGAAACCAAATGCATTCAGTTCAGAATCTGAAAAGCCTGTGTTTGAATTTGTTCCACCCAATTGATGTAAATGTCCCGTTGATCTGTGGGGTCTGTTAGGTACCAGGCCTGCTGCATGGTTCATTTCTCTCAAGATTATGAAGATCTCTATACCATGTTTGCTATGATGTTCAATAGGGAGTTATTATCCAACTATGAATTCTTTTTTAGAAGAACATGTGGTAAGTCTTACCTTCATTTGACTTTGTGTATTTGACACCATGGGGATGGAGACTGTAGGCCCTTGTAGCAAAATTTTTCAAGTGAATGGTAAAGGTGTCTCCAACTTCCCCTTTAAGGATAGGGCCTAGGAAGCCCAGCCATGAAGGCTTTTCAACAGTGTTTTTGTAGGAGTTATCTGTGAACTGCACGAACACAGCTTTTTTATACGTTCTTCCTATCCGGTGGGGGCCTTGTTGGATAAAGACACTTGCTGCACTAAAACGAAAAGGCACAGATAAGCATGTCAGCATAGCTCCTTTTTCAAAACACATATACTGTAGTTGTAATAATTATTACTAGGCATGTGCCTTGTCTTTAGACAAATCTGCAAAAACAAAGGAAATGAACAAATAAGCAGGAAGTTGTGCCTTAGGTTCAGACTATGCAGTGAAGTCAATATGTCATTAGAAGTAGAGCTTTGTTAATAAATAAAAGACATCTGTATATCCTTGAACAAGATTTCTTACAATGATGCCAGTTCTAAATAAGCTTGTTTGGAAGTTCAAATGAACTTGCTTTGTTTTGCAATTGCTCATCAGGATGCAAGCACTGGCTTCATTTGCATGTCTGTTTGCACTGGCACTGCAGTTATGAAGGGATTCATATGTACAGGAACAACATTTTGTCACTTTCTAATTGCAAAGCCAGCATCTCCTACAGTTTTGCTGTCCATGTTATAATAACTCTTTTTCTCATGATAATGTACTGGGATCCCAATCCTTCTCCAACCATCGTATTCACTTAGGCTGCAGTCAGATGGTGGGGAAGTCATGCATCTGATCATACCAGAAAGGGTCACTTACCAAGGAGCGATCTCCCTTAAAGCCACCCTTCCATATGCTGGCGAATGATTCCAACATGGCCTCAAAAAGTAGTAGCCCTAAAGCTGGACCAAAAAGGTCCAACTTGGCATAGATTAGGGGCAGCCTGGGGCCCAATTCACCATACATCTGATGGCCAGGAAATAGATTGCATCAGATTGCTCCACAAGTGGTCCAAAACATGTGAACATGCCCTCAGTCTGCCCTACTTTCCAGTCTTGTCGTTGCTGGGATTCTCAGATGCACACTAGAGACCCCCTGTCTACTGTTACATTTCCTGCTGATTTGGGAATCAAGCAATAGTAATTTCTCCTGCTTGTTCTTCCCCCCATAACTTGGGTTGTCACATCTCAAGGATTTTGATCTGTAAACAGAGGAATAACATTCAAGTCTCTTCACCTGACCACCTCTGAACATGTGAACAGTGAGAAGAGTGAGAAAATGGAGTGGCATTGTACACTTGGCTTATACTCTCTAATGGGAGTACGAGATAGATGGCAAGGGAATCAGCAGTGTCAGGATAAATCCTTAGTTTATATCCAGCCACTTACCATTCACATAGTGTCCTTGGGAAAATACACTTTTCCTGCATTTGGTGTTACTGCCATGAAAGTCATATACAGTAGGTGGAATCCCATGCAAGTTGACACCATGTGTAGCTCCAGCCAGGGTCTGAGTCTCAAGAAACCAGTATTTGCTTATAGTTAGCCTCTATATTGCTCTTAAACTCTCAACAATTGTGAGGGCTGCATCATTTCAAAAAGAGTGTGAAGTTGTTGAAAACTATTGATTATGAGCCTGTTTTCAGGAAGCTCTGCAAGCCACAAATTAAATTGGAGGTGCGTGTTATGTTTCTTTTTCTTTTTTTTTAGGACTGTCCAAATAATTGTACACATGTGGGTCTGGTCTCTGGGTGTCCATATGAATTTCATTGTATGTGTATGCTATGTATATACTTACAACTACAATAAATTTATTTGTATTTGTAATTCACATTTAATGCTAAATCTTGTTGATACGGGCATTGTCTCCTTTTCCTTCTCTTCCCTTGAAAAGATAAGAGCTCTCATAAAAAATAATGCCTCATAGCTAAGATTCCCAAGGGCTGAAGGGTTTGACTAAAGGATAAAAGTAAAACACTGAGCAATACAAGCTGAAATCTGTCCCCAGAGTAACTGTTGTGGCTCGCAGTGAACTTTCTTTGCTAAGATGGAATTTGACCTTGTGCTTCTGTGATTTGTCAGACAGCTAACAGAAAAGCAGGGCTAAAAGCACAATGAAGGTCTGTTATATGTCTCCTGTTGGCACTGCCCACCCTTTCCATCCACTTGAGTCTTGAAAAGTATTGTGTGTGTGTTGCTATTATTAGCCTGCAATGGTTTTTGTTTTTAAGTTATCTGAATTTCTTTCCCTTTCTTGTCCAGCAGATTTCTGCAAAGAAAATAAGACTGAAGTATGCAATACCTAGATTGTGCAAAGGAATGGGTGTAAGGCCGGGCTCCCCTTCATTTTGTTTTCAGTGTTAGAAGAGCCATTGCAGCTGCATGGACTGCTGCACTTGTGGCAACTTCATGCATTCCACTTCAAGAGAATCTTGAAGAAATGTTAACAGATTCTCTTTGTGAGTGTTCTACTTTGATTTCTGTCAACCTTTTAGGAACAATCGCATCATTTTTACACTTTTGGAGGGTTGCAGGACCAGTGCCCACAGCCTCGCTTCTCAGGAAGCCACTACAAGTGAAGATGCTGGCCACAGAGACTGGCAAAACGTTAGGAAGAACAACCTTCAGAACACGGCCAAAGAGCCCGAAAAACCCACAACAACCACTACAAGTTCTCAGGAAGGTTGCACATTGGTTCTGTGCAGAACTTGGGAGTAACACAGTGCAAATTTAATTAATGTAATGAATCACTTGGAATGGACTCCTTTTGTCCAATAACAAAGTTGGAAGTACATACATTACCTAAAATATAACTTCTGTCTTGTTTAACTACATTATCTTTTAAGTTATATTATATCTAAGGGATAATGTCCCTCCTTTTCAGTGTTGTGGTTATGGAAGGTGCAACCTTACTTCATGGTAGGGAGGAAATATGACATGCTGCACCTCAGGCTGTCACATTCAGAGGTTTGTTTTTTTTTTAAACTGAAACATAGCTATTTTCATTATTTTTGTAAATTAGGAAAATCTATTCAATATTTATGCACTTTGTACTCCAGAGGCTGCCACAGTCTAAGAAGGTGATCTTCATGTGCCTGATGTTCATGACCAGCATCTTGTCAGATTGCTGCATCAGTTTCCATGGTTAAGAGTATTAACAGGATGCTGGTATATAATTGTAATTATAATAAACTACATTGGGTCCTCTGGAACTACATACTGTATATCCGTAACCAATTGTGTTTTACAACATAAACACACTAGGCCCCTTCCCTCCTGATTATCAGGAAATGGGTGAAAACAAAATTATATAAAGCTGCTTTCAACAACTGAATGCTGTCAATGCTGTCAATATTAAATTTTTTTGAGTTACTCTTCTCTCAGCAGAAAGAACAATATCCAGAGAGAACAATATCCAGAACAATATATATATATATTGTTCTGGATAATATGTATATATAAGTTCTTTGAATTCAATGCACCAACAAGACACCAATGCAAGAATTGCCTGAAGAAGTGTTCCTCAAAATCTCTTTTCTCCCAAAGTCAAGGAATCACACTCAAAACATCCCAGTCTCTCAGAATCTTTTCTTGCACAGTCCAATATACAAAACCCAGCAGTTTCAACAGGCAAAACAGTGTTACTCTAAATTGAGGGGGTAAGGGTCTCAGTCCCCATTCCCTAGGAAATAGGAGCTCATTTTCTCTAGCATTCTCTTTCTTCCACACAAAACTTCAGAAGCATAGCCTCTTGCTTTAGGATAAACTAATGGGTGGTATTCAGTGTAGTTTGTGCACTATGCAGTCTGCACTGGAGACCAGCAATGGTGATGGTATATTGTCTTCCACCTTTGCTTAGAGAAGAGTGACTCAATATGGTGTCATGGTTGTGTTGGAGTGGAAACTTAGGATAAAATGAAATGAACTGGGTGATGTTGGGATAGGCAGGTGTTCTCCCAACCTGCTCTATTTCACAGACTGTTTGTGAAGGTAAAAAGTAAGGAGGAGAATCATGTGCCCCATCTTGGGCACATTGGAGGAAAAGCGGGGTATAAACAAAGCAAAGAAATAAGGTATATAGGAATATATCTGCTTTCTCATTTTCAAAAGAACATTCTGTTCCTAGCTACTGACTGACAAAGGAATGAGAAATAAGCAGCCATTCCTGAACATCAGATAAGATGAGGATGAAGCCACAATACAGTGTCCTTCCCTCAGGGCCTCTCTCTGAATCTTCAATTCATTTAAAATCTCCAGGCTTTTAGTTGTGCAGATATAAGTATATATGCAACCCAGTTGTTTATGAACATGTTGTTTAAGTAAATCAATTCAAATAAACTCTAAACAGATTAGGCTAACAACTCTAAGCAGGTTAATCTGTATGTTGTTAATCTGTATCTTGCTATTATTCCATTATTTGTCCACCTTTTAGGTTGCCTCAGAACAAAAGGTCTGTACTACTTCTCCTTTCTTGATGGAACAACTTTCTCCAAAGTAAAATGAGTTTTAAGAAGCAACATCAGGCACCTCGTTGGCTTAAAAAGCAGCCATGGACTCTCTTGTCTTTCACATCACTGGGTAACACCAACCTTTTTGACTGAAGAAATGCTTGTTTTAAGAAAAGCTGCATATGCTGAAATTTCCCTGCATCTTGCTTTGCATTGGAACACATTCAAACACAGGCTGATTGAAACTTCCTTGAAATAAACAGTTCATACTAAAATTTGAAAACATATTTCAATGCAGTTAGTACAAGATCAGTTGCACTTACTCTTCCTCTGAAAATAACTTCCCAGAAATTATGTCCTTTGTCCCAGGTGCATAGTTCCAGTCAGTTTCTATAATTCCAATGTAGTATTCTATGTTTGCTGCCCAGATGTGGGAAAAGTAACAAACCACCAAATGGCTTAGTACCCCTAGCTTCATTTTCTGTCTCTGCTGCCATGGACTAAAAGAACGTGTTCATTTTATAAGATCAGGCTGTCCCCCTTTGTTTTTCTTTGCTTAGTTCAATAGGCTGAAATGTTGCACAATGCTTGTTAAAATAAACACAGCTAAACTTGATGCCAGTAATTCAGGCAGCAGACAGATCTTTTAAAAAATTCTTTTTGATTTCAGCATCTGGGAAACTTTCCCAGTCAACAGGTTTTAAAAGGATTAAACTGGCCCTGATCTGGTGAAAACCTTGGGATTTTCCCAATATAAAGGCAATACTCATCTTGTTCATTGCATTCAGGACTGCTAACAAATCCAGTCCTGCATTTCACATCATAGACATTGTTCTATTTTGTTTTCAAACAGAAGAAAATGACCGAAGGAATAGTGCATATGGTCTCATATGGTTCAAAATGCATTAATATTACAGTTATAAAATTTCAAGCAAGCTTTTTTCATCCATGCCAGCGAATATAGATAATGTTATAAAAGGTTGCTCTGAATTTCTGCTTCTTTGATCTTCACCATCTGTTAAAACACCTGCCTTTCATGTGTTTCTTTTTTCCAGCATTTTGGACCAGTGAGCAGATTTGGAATTTTGTGAAGCACCATGGGCACCATTACAAAATGGACAGGTCCTCTCATTTTGAGAGAATGGCTGTTAAGTTAGAAATAGTTACCTCCAGGAACACACGAAATATTCTCAAAAGGATAACCGGTGAGGTTAAAGAATAAGTTGCCCAGAAACTAAATGACAGCAATGTGACATCTTCACTACCTAAGAATACTTTTGGAACTCTGTTGGCATTCTGAATGGGAAAAGAAGACGTTGAACAACTGCAAGTCAGACTTTTTGCTTTGTTGAAAACCACCACCACAACCACAACAACAACAGAAGAAACAGTGGATTTTGGTGGATCTCATGGGAAATACCCATGGTGTTGAACAACTGCAAGTCAGACTTTTTCCTTTGTTGAAAACCACCACCACGACAACAACAACAGAAGAAACAGTGGACTTTGGTGGATCTCATGGGAAATACCCATGGGCGTGTTGCTACCTGTGGCTGCCATGCTGGAACTATAGCATAGGCATCCTTCAGTCTCGAGAGACTATGGTATCGTGCTCTGCATGGAGGACTTGGAACAGTGTCTAGTGTGGCTGAGAAGGCCAGTTCGAGAGTGACAATCCCTTCCACAATGAAGACAAATGCAATCTGTACCCTGTCTAGCTCCCTGATTTTGCTGCTTTCGTGACTGCCTCTTTGCCTCAGCCTGCTGGGCGAGGGTCTCTTCAAATTGGGAGAGGCCGTGATGCACTGCATGCCTCCAGGCTGAACGCTCAGATGTCAGGGTTTCCCATCTGTTGAGATCCATTTCCAAGGCCTTCAGATCCTGCTTGCAGGTATCCTTGTATTACAGCTGTGGTCTCCCTCTGGGGCGATGTCCCTGCACTAATTCTCCATACAGGAGATCCTTTGGAATCCGCCGATCTAGGACTACTCTATTTGGAACTTTGTCCTGCCAGGTGATACCAAAGATGTGTCAGAGGGAACGCATATGGAACATGTTCAGCTTTCTCTCCATGCTGGGACCCCTACTTCAATAAAATGGTAATTAAAAGAAGTATAGCAGCGTAACAGTGATGGGGCAACTAAGAATATATATATTATATAGTATTAAGATTTAATCTGGATTTTTGACCAAGTCAGCAATCTATTCTCTTTGCTACGACTACAAGCATTGCATAATGGAGAAAATATCAAGAAGCACAGGCACTTTTCTAAGTTAACATGAGCAACTTTACAGAAGGAACATTTCCAATTCACTCCTCAGCCCTGCTTCTGGAGGCCAGCCACTCAGAGGCAGAGTCATGGACTTCCCTGCCTCACCTCCACTCAGAGGTGGTTGTTAGAGGAGGGAAGCAGACCCTACTGCTGGTAAGTGGCTGGCCACCAGGGGAGGCAGGGAAGGGAAGCATGTGGCCCCCTGTAAGGGGGCAAATGCATGAAGGAGGTGGGGGGAGGCAAGCAAGCAGCATCTGCAGAAGAGCTGCACGGGTGCCACACCAAACTGGGTGGAACTACCAAAGCACAGTTCATGCCCATCTCTAATCTCATCTGCTTCAATAGGAAAATACATTTTAAAATGGTAGAGAAGATGAAAATAGAGGAGGGAGATTCTTCATTATCCCTTTCAGTGCCACAGCCCACACAATACATCTCAGGGTTGTCATCTCAGGTAACACCATCCATAGCTCTATTTAGGTCCAAAGTAACAATCCGCATGGGCTACAGAACAGGATAATTAGGAGTGGTCCAAACAGCACCAAAAACCCTATAGCCCTAGCATTGTCCAAAAAGGAACAGGACAGGTCTAAAAAGGAGTCAGATGGATTGCTCCAAGTCAAAGCATGTATGAATGCTGTAATCTGATTTGAAACAAACAGCACCAAAAGCAATATAAATAGAGAGCTATACATACCCTTAGTTAAGTTGGCAGCACCTGAAAGTAGCCTAAATCCAACATACTATAGATTTTTAGCTCCTCTCTCTCCCTCCTGCAGCCCTCTTTGGCATAGAAATCATGTTTAAAGCAATAGATACAGGAGTGGGGCATTCCTATTGTGTGACAGCACTCCAAACATGCCCACAACAACAGTATGTGTACCCACCCACACCAGATTAAAACAAACAAACACAAAAAAAAGTGTTGCAACTTGGCTGTTTGTTAAAGGCAAGGTTTCACAAATCCTCTGTTATATTCCTGTCTCACTGCCTTTATTTACCAAACTAAGTTTCCCATATGCTGAAGCCTTTTTTTGATCGGGGAAGTGTCTCTTTTCCTGGTTGTCTTGATTGCCTTTTGCTGCAGTCAGAAGTGGAACCCCTGGACAGTTGTATAATATCAGGAAAAGTACGAACTTTGTCGTGAATGTTCACTACCATATCACCAGGTAAGCTGTTATGAAATGTTTATTCACAAAGCAGTAACATGACACTGCTTGTTCTGATAACGAAAAATACAAAATGTATCTCCCGAGAGGCTTCACAGCTTTTTGCCTTATCTCCCTTTTTCTTGTTATATGTTTAAATAACTGTTTTAAATATATAACATTTATTTAAATATATAATAAGAAAAACGGAGATAAGGCAAAAAGGGGGGTGGTGGACAGGAAAATTCAGCCATTCCAATAACTGTACACTTGCTTAGAAAAGTATGAGTCAATGAAACTTAGAGCTTGGAAAAATATGGGAGTTACTTCTTGTGTAACACAGTGTGTGTATAAGAGGATCACAAAAAACAAACAAAAAACTTTTATTTTAGTAAAACTCAAATATCAGTATTTACATATTATCAGAGATGAGATGCATGGTCCACCAGACAAGGTCTTTATTGTGCAATTGATCTGCCATAGAAACAGAATTTTACAGGCATCCAGTTGTTATTCCATTATTGTCTTCCATCTGTGGCCCTTGTTCTTTCTTTGCACTGTTTCTTCTTTCTTTCTTTCTTTTTTTCTTGTCACTAAAAAATCCACTGAGAATAGTAAGACAGAATAGTTGTGTGATGCCTGTTGTTTGGTAATGCTGTGAATTGTCCTTCAGGAAGTGCTTGTTGTCTTTTCCTACAACTGTCAGATCAATGTAGGCTGTGGAGAGGAACAGAAAGAGCTCAGAATTTTAACCTACAAATGGAGTAGTCCATAGATGAGAATTTGTGTTTCTTACAGTATGTCCTGTAGACTGTTGCATATCAGCATGAATCATTCCCTCCAATGAATGACAGCAGGACATAGCTAAATATTCCTATCCTTTCTCATTCTTTTAAAAAATTGTTAGTCTATGTATACACTGGAAATATGCAGCAAACGATATCCTAAATCCAATGTTCATTCTGCCAAGAGCAGACTCACTGAAATCAGTGGGACTTCTATCAGTTGTGACTTATTCACTTCAATAGGTCCACTGTTGGAGTCACGAAATGTGAAGGCTGATGGGTTTTGTGATTATCACCAGATAATTAGGATAGCAAATAGTCTCTTAGAGATAGGAGTTAAAGAAGTAAGCCACACACACAGGGATGTCTGCTCTTAGTAGAAGAGGCAGAATAACACTGAATGGTTCCCAATGAATTCTGCCCTGCCCCCAGGAGGACTGTGCTTTTATTAACCTTACAAGCTCACAGATAGTAACAGCATTACAGATTGGTTACAGAGTTCAGATAGGACAATGGTTACATCATACCTTTAGGATTGGCCCAGGGAAAGGCAATTAATCAAGCCCTCGATGATTGGCCTACGGAAAGGTTTTTGGCAGGCTCTCTAGTACAATGAGAAAGAGGAAGAATGGTGGGCCACGCCTCTCAGAAGCAATCACATGTTGCTAGGAGAGTTTTCTCTCACTACAACACCCATGTGGCTTAGCAACCTTGGGAATGACACCCCACACAGTCCACTCTTAATTTGAGTTTAGCTCTAATTTTTTCAGGATGTTAGTGGAAATCCTGTTGTTTCCCACATATCCTAGAGGCAGAGAAAGGCTTTCATACCACAGAGCTTTGGCATCCAAGGACTAGCTAAGAAGCACCAGTATTGTAGTCTCAGAATACCGAGTTAACTAGACTGGCATCTAGATGTTCTTGTGTCAGTTAGGCGGCCACCCTTGTTCGCCCTTCACGTCCACTTTTGATTCTTACCAAAGAAAACCTCTTAAGGGAAAAAAGTAGGAGCAGCAACACAGGGCCTTTTAGCTGTGAACAGGTGCCTCAGTGTAGAAGCACCTTTAAAGAGTTCTGTTATACAGTCACCCTGCTTTAGTCACAGACTTTTACAGTGGGAAAGGGTGCAAGTCTGGCCATCTTCCATTTGCAACCCTCCATATTTTCCTAATGGAAAGGGTCAAAGGTCAATGGTAGAACACGCACTTTGCATGCACAGCCGCAAATTCAGTTCTCAGCATTTCTGAATAGAGCTAGGAAGGAAATCATTGCCACTCAGAGTTGATAGTACTGAGCTAGATGGACCAATGGTATAACTCTGTATAAGACAGCTTCATATGGTCCTGTGGTACTATTTCCTTCCCCCTCACTTTCCACAAATAAGAAAATATGGAATAGCTGCACAATGTATTTTAATTAGTACCATTGTTTTGTTGTTGTTTAGTTGTTACGTCATGCCCGACTTTTCATGACCCCATGGACCAGAGCACGCCAGGTCTTCCTGTCTTCCACTGCCTCCCAGAGTTTGGTCAAATTCATGTTGGTAGCTTTGGTGACAAAGCATCCTTTGTTATTAATTACAGTGTTGAACTGCTGGATAGGTCTCCCACTGTGGAGCCAGAGGCTGACCATTCAATTTCCCACTGTACCTCTTTGACAGGGGCTAGACTCAGTGATCCATAGGGTCCCTTGCAGTTCTTCAGTTCAAAGGTTATTATTATATATTATTATATTATTTGTGGGTAATAGCTGTATTTCTCTCATTCCTCAGATATGGCATGCACATGGACAGAGCTGATGGAACTTGTCCAATTTAATTCCTCTGACAATTGCACTTGTACATAGCTTGTTACCTGCAAGGGAGAATAGCACCCATTTCTAAAGTGTTTGTAATTATTCTGTTACCTCCACAAAGACAGGGTAAGTTCCACACAGTATTCTCTTTAATTCCGCAATCACTTTCAGAAAGCAGATCAACATCTGGAGGCTGTTAAGGGCTATCAGAATAGAGAACAAAATGATGTTCCATTCCACCACATAAGCAGGTTCTGTGCACTGAGACCAGGAACTTTGATCCATGAGGTAGCTATCAGAGAAATAGTAGTACAAAGGAGTTGTTATGTGGCATCAAGTCAGAACCGTTTATACCAACCTTCATAGGGCTTTCATAGAAACATAGAATAACTGAGTTTGAAGGGTTATCAGGTCCAATCCCTTGCTCAATGCAGGAAGCCAAATCAAAGCAGATCTGGCACATGGTTACCCAATGTTCTCTTGGATACCTCCAGTATTGGAGCACTCACCACCTCCCAAGGTAACTGGTTCCATTGTCATGCTGCTGAAACAGTTAAGAAGTTTTTCCTGATATTTAGCCAAAATCTGTAGCTTGAGCCCATTATTATGTGTCCCGCGCTCTGAGATGATAAATAAGATATTTAAGGAGTGGTGAGTTTCCATGGCTGAGCAGGGATTTAAATCCAGGCTTCTTGAGTCTTAGTCCATTACTCTATCCATTATGCAACACTGGGTGTCCCAAAGGGGTTAGAGTGATACTATTATTACAAATGGGCCTGTCAAGCTTGGCCGCTGGGAAAGAATGAAGAGTATTATCTCCCATTCAGAATTACCCACCACCATGATGACTTCCCATCCCTCCTTCCATCTATGAGACTATTTCTGTAAGAGGAAGGAACAGAACTAGACTTCCTTTTCTAAACTGAGTGTGTTTCTGAACTCCTGAACCAGCCCTTTGTCTGTCCTGTTTTTTGCCCCCTTTCCTCTACCAAATCTGACTCTTGGGAAAGATCGGAAGAGTTTTAATGGTAGAAGGAAGCAAATACAGTATGCAAATAGAAATTTGGCATGTCACAGAGACTGCTAACTTGGAACCTTTCTTTGTGATCTCTAGTTTTCTGTGCAGTGGGGAATTTTGTATCAAGGGGCACTCAGTTATGCACATCTACACAGGTAAGTCTGTTACTTCCCGCATCTGCTGGGGAACAAGAATTAGCTCCAAGGAACAGAACACAAGGCCAGAATGTGGAACTAGAACCTGTTTTTCAGCATGGAGTTTATGGACAAAAAATTACAATAGTAGGACAGTTGTACATTTTTCAGTCCAAGAAATAGTTAAGGTACTTGCAGGCAACCCCCAAAAATAGAAGCGAGAACAGACATTGTCCCAAACATGCAGGTTATGACAACACTCTGAATATTTGATATCATTGCTCATAATCTGAGGCATAAAATTTATCTTGCGATAGAGATCAACATTCCAGTGGAGAACAATTCAGGATATACATGGAGTGGAAGTCTGAAGCATGGAGTTTCTATTATCTTTTAAGATTTGGATTAGTAGCAGCTCAGGATCATGCATCTGTGCACTTAGAATGAAATCTCTTCTCTTTCTTTCTTTCTTTCTCTCTCTCACTCACTCACTCACTTTCTCCTTCTCCCTCTCTCTCTGCATGTGTAAAAGAAAATCATACCTTCCTATTTTAAACTGTTTCAAATGTTCAAAAGAAAAATCAAAAGAAACTATGGCATACATATTCCTTTGAAATAGCTCTCTTAAGGTGAATCAACTGTTTTTCTTGCTCTTAGAAAGCATGTTAATTTCATGGGAGAAAATAGAATAGTTCTCACTCCCTCTTCCTTCTCTACTTAAAATACACATATAAAAAATAAAACCTTCAAAACTTAAGGATGGTATAAATATATTTCCCCTGTGTCCGCTTCTTTTTCTTACGAGGTCCCTTCAAGCAATGGCATATAATTAAGCTGTGCCTGATAATTAATAGTTGCATCCTATAGAGGTGAGGTGAATAATATTTCTCCATCCCATGGGATCTTTCTTTCCAAAGATATAAATGTTAGTAGATATATGTACTTTAAAAACACATTGGCCAATACTCTGGTGTAGTTCCACCTGCACAACAGAAGTGATATCACCAGCAATGGTAGTTTTCCACTAACTGAAGACTTCCTTTTTCCATTTCAGAGGACATGCACATTTGTATCATTGCGTGCAAGTTGCGTGCAGCTGAAAATCAAAAAAAGGAATTCTTAAATTAACAGCAATTTCCCATTGTTGATTATTTTACTTCTGCTGCACAATAGGATAACTGAGCATCCTCCTGCTCAGAGTAAGCAGCACCAAATGTGGAACCATAAGACTAAAGATGTGTCCAGATTGTGATTTATCTTCCTTTTTGTTCCCTATTGAGGAAGTTAATTCTGATCTATTTTGCATAAGTAAAGCTTAGCATGAACCAGTCCAGCTTCTTTACATACCTATCCATACCTTTTTGGTACCTCTATGGTTCAGGAGCAGAGCTACTCTCTCTCTCTCTCTCTCTCTCTCTCTCTCTCTTTTTTTTTTTTGAGTGGTGGGCATTGTATTGTTTGTGCATGGAAATATGAGTCTAAATAAGATCACACCCAGTGAAGTGACCTTTTTCAACACAATCCAGCATGATCTTGTTCTGCTGTCTAGTCACACTCTGAAGTAGCCTTCTCCAAACTGTTCCCAGATGCACTGGTACAGTTATTAGCCAACATGACCATTGTCCATGCTGTCCAAGGATGATGGAGGCTGTAACCCAACACACCTGGAAAGTACACAGTTGAAGAAGGCTAGACTAAGGAATCAGAAGATAAACAACAGGCAAGGACAGCAACACTGGCCTATGAAAACAAGTCCACTCTGCCTACAGTGATCCAAAGGTCCATAGATGGAGGAAGAGAGGGGAGCAGCAGAATCTGAAAAAGAGATCAGGTTGGGCTGGTTGGATGAGAAAAATGTAGACGTATAAAGGCAGAGCTATTATGAGCTCTGCTGGCTGAATAACTCAATGAGGTTTGTATCTGACTGCATAGTCAGAAGCCAAGAAGGTGATTCCCCACTGTGTCTCCTAGGGAAAGAGCTAGAGCTACTGCAGCTTGCATATCCTCGGGCAAGCTGCAGTATTCAAAGGGTTCACCCCAGAAGGGAATTAATTAATTAACTAATTAACTAATTTTTACCCCGCCTTTCTCTTTGAAAAGGACCCAAAATGGCTTACAACACTGAAAGGCAATCTGGAAGTTGTGTCATGCCAACTGGACTTCTCTCTTTCTTATTGGGTTGAAATGTTTTGCTACTCATCCAAGTAGCTTCTGCAGTCTGAAGAGAGTTGGTAGGAAACCCCGATATATCCTCCACATCGCCTTCATTTTCCCCTGATGGAGGATATATCAGGGGTCTCCTACCAACTCTTCTCAGACTGAAGGAGCTACTTAGATGAGTAGCAAGACGTTTCAACCTAATAAGAAAGAAATCCAGTTACCATGACTCAACTTCCAGATAACTTCACCTGGATGTCTGAGAATCTTCACAGATTGAAAGACAATATTGGAAGTTTAAAACAATGAGCAGACAACGATGTTAACATAATTAAAAGACAATATTTAAAGCTAAGAACAATGAGTATAAAGAGGCATCTTGCATCATTAAAAGGCAATATTAAAGCTAGTAAATAAACCCTTCTGAATACTTTATACCTAGAAACTTAGGATCAACTTGATGGTATGTAATTAAATAGTTTATCAAGAGATCTCAAAAGCACAAGGCTAAACAGATGACAGGAGAAATTTTGGCACATTCAGAGGAAATTGGAAGGCTACTATTTAAATGTGTGGCTTAGAATACCTGTACATGGCCCAAGATATAGCAATTGTAAATCCTTCTGAATACTTTATACCTAGAAACTTAGGATCAACTTGATGGTATGTAATTAAATAGTTTATCAAGAGATCTCAAAATCACAAGGCTAAACAGATGACAGGAGAAATTTTGGCACATTCAGAGGAAATTGGAAGGCTACTATTTAAATGTGTGGCTTAGAATACCTGTACATGGCCCAAGATATAGCAATTGTTCTTACCGGCCTGCAGTGTCTTTGAAAGCATATTCCCATCCAGTTGAGATTCTACAATAAGGTCCCTGCACTAAGCTCAAAGTAGATATGATCAGACTGTATCCAGAGAATGCAATTCCAAGCAGGGCAAGCACAACTGAAATGAAACGCTGTGTTAAAGAGAGCATAATGTTATTTTCAGCAGAGTGCATGACTGCTATCACTTGAGTCACACAGAAGAAGTGAAGGCATTGTTTCCACTTAATCAGCTATACTTTCAGGTACATATCCTTGGCCTAATGTAAAACAAAAAGTCATCAGCAACTGAAATTCATATTATAAATAGAAAGAAAATAAATATTCATTATATTTAGCATTGTGAATGTTGACAGGCAGGAAATTTCTGTCTTAAAATGAGAGTCCTAAAACATCATGACAGAAATGTGTCAGGTATGGTTCTTAAGGTGAGTTCAAACACTGGCTGCAAATGGCCTTTGGGGTATGTGGTTTCAAGCTGCTTCCCAGTAACATTTGGCTGTACTTTTCCACCCAGCTCTTCAAACTGCCGAATAATCTGCATGTTCCTCCACCTACCTCACCTCCACCTCCAACTGCCTTTGTTTGAAGAGCTGGGTGAAAATATCCAGCCAGATGCTCTCAGGGTGAATTTTGTCCTGAAACAATATCCTTTATTATAAATATATACTTGGTAGAGGATGTATGAAATGACTATGAACTGGAAACAAAGATGGCCTGTAGCTGTCAAATTGCAAAAGCAAGTTCTTTCAGGATTCAAAACTCCAGATGTTTTTCATTTTGTTAGGTTTGGGGGCTTCTTCCCTTCTTTGCTACTTTAGATTAATGGTACGTAATACAAAATACTTGTTGGACTCTTGTCTACCATTTTTGTGCGCTATCCATGAAGTGGTTGCATTTAGCCTGATGAAGTACAATTCCTCCATGAAAGCTCTCAGTTTGTTTGATGTTTTCGTTGTCCAATGAAAGGTATCACCCACTCTTACATTTCTGTAAGGATCACTTGGCCTTTTCCTTGCTCTTTCTACTTAGCACTTATGTAACACTTAGGAATGTTTCTCATATTTTATCTCAACAGTTCAGACCAGTTCACGTTCCATCACTTGGTTGTTTAAGGCATCTATCTCAAGTGATAGGTTTTGGGTGTCATTAGAAGGCAGCAAACTATTGATTATTAAAACATCTCTTTGATAAAACTATATTTAATAAAACTGGAATGCTGCTGTAGTAGATGACAGTGAGCTTTTAGGGAACTAAGAATGGTGTGGTAGATAGAGTGTGGTATTTGGGTATGGAAAATAATGAAACTCAGTGGGTGACCCATTGGAGCAGTCTTTGGTTCCCAACCTGGCCTACCTCATAGAATTATTGTGGGATAAAGGAGGAAGGAGGAGAAACTTTCACATTACCTTGAGTACATTGAAGGATAGATAGAAATGTAACTAAAGAATAGCATAAATATATTCGCGAAGGCTTTCATGTCTGGGATCTAATGGCTAAAGAACAGCATAAATGTTTGTTTATTTATAAAAGGGATGGATCACATTGCTTTGTGCTGCCTTTCTGAGACTGTGAGCTTGATCACATGAGCAAAATGAACCCCAGTTCTATTGATTCTCTTCATACCTTTGATGTACTGAATCATAGCCATGTGGTATATATACATTCCCATTTGTTTTAATGTTAACAATTTATTTCTTCCTGTTTGAAACATAATGACCAGCTACACTATGGAATCGATTCATTTTCTCTGATGTTTCTTGGGGCAGTGCTGCCCCATTTTAAAAAAGCAAAAAAAAATCTGTGGTGCAATAGAGAGCCTTCTCTCCTCCTTCTCTTTCTCTTTGCAAAGGAGCACAGAACTTTGCACGAGTGAAGAGTTAAAAAAAGTCAGAGTAGAAGCAACCCTCCCCATCCCCACCCCCATACATCCTAGACAAGCCTGTTGAGAACAGATTGCAGAAAAGAAACTGGATATTGTGAGGAGAGATCTGGAGTGAGGATGGATTGAGGGGTGGTCAGGAACAGCTTCGGATTGTGACTGTTCCATCTCTGATTCGCACCCTGTGGATGAGATCCACCCACCCCTGGCTGCTGGTCTCCACACTCCATCTCATCTGGCAAAGGAGCAAGGAGGGGCAATCAGGGAGAGGCGGGACAGTGCCTGACATCAGCAGCGATCATACTGTGGTTCACACACATTGACCCTGTTAAACTAATCTGTTTCCCTCTCTCCACAGTGCCCAGAAACCTGAGCCCTTTGCCAAGGAAATAAATTGATAGGAGTGTGCGCACATGCAATACCAGTACAGAATGAATCGATGCATCATTGGCACAAAACAGCACAGCTCTCCTGGCGAGGGGGAAATAAACCGCAGATACACAGCTGGCTGGGGAAATGCTTCAATTATGACCGCGTGTCATGTGAGTGGAAATTTATCCAACAACCTAACTGGGAAATACCTGGGGTACATTTGGCTGGTGTGGTCAGGCCCTGTGATTTAATCTCAGTGCTTCCTTCCTGAGATTGTGATTCAGTCTATAGAGATACAAGCCTGGAGTCAGAAGATGTTGGCTACGATCCCAGAGTATAACTATTGACAACATGCCAGAAAGAGACAGACAGAGACAAGGTTCCCATTTTTCTGAGAGAGGCAATAGAAATCCTTCCTGTTTTTGTTTTCTCCCATCCTTTGCAGATAAAAGGTAAAGTGAGAAAGGAAACAGGAACCACCAGAGGAGTTTGGGGTTGGGCTTTTTGCTTGTTTGTTTCGTTTTGTTTTTAGCAAGATGTAACCAAGATACTCACTCTGTATGTTCTTGTGCAGCTTTCACTTTGGCAGCATTCATGGAAGATGTCTCGGTCCAGAATTATTAAAAGTGCTGCCAGTATAAGCATCTGGAAGGACAGAAATATAAATCATAGAGGATCCTGAGTCCAAAAATCTTTGAATTATTTCATGCGGCCCCAATGAGGTGCTTGTGATGAGTGCTACCATTTTAACCAGAATTAGCCAAATATCTACTTTGCTCAGAATTTTACTCAATGTGTCAGGAAAAGGCATGTTAGAAGAGCATTATTAAGAAATACTTCGAAGGGGGAACTATGCAAGGTTTATCATACATTTTCCTTTCAATGGCTGGTGGAAATGGTTATCTTGTGTTCATTGTAGTTGTTCATGTCTGAACAGGTAGAAATCAGTAAGAGCTCCCCCACTGTAAAGAGTTCCCACATAAACAGTGTGGAAGAAAACGTTCTTTGCAACAAGGCTAAAACAATTAATGTTCTTTTTAAGCTACACAAAATAGTAACTACTCTCAGAGTAGCTCATGCATAATTTAAAAATAATATGAATAACCAAAACAAAACAAAACAAAAAACAAAAACAGAGTAGCAAAGAAGACTAGATTTTTCAAAATAACATTTAATACTCAAAAGCTAAAAAGCCTGGGAAAATATGGAGAAACCTCAGATTTGTGTCTGTGGGGAGGACAGTTCGAAAGTCAGGAAGGATGGCACAACTTAAGAGACCTTCCCAAAAGTCCCCACCCAATAGACTACTAGATTACGTCGGAACCCAATAAGTGCTTGTGAACGACCATTAATATGTGTAAGAAGATTCCTTATAATGTAATCTTCATAACTGACAAAGAGTAAGGTGCAGATCTTGAGGAGTTGTTTTTTCTGAAGAACCACCCGGAGTAGACTTTGTCTAAAAGAGCAGGATAGTAATCAAATAAATAAACAAACAAATAAATAAAATAAACACAGTCCTGTTGCTCATTATGGAGTCTGTTGTCAGAAAATTAGCTCATTATGTTACTTGGCTCATAGTTTTTGCATCTATTTCCATTACTTTAAAAAAAACTATAAAAACTGTTAAGCCAGATTTTGATTGAATATCAGGAAAAACTTCCTAACTGTTAGAGCAGTGAGACAGTGGAACCAATTACCTCAACAGGTGGTGAGTGCTCCAACACTGTAGGCATTCAAAAGAAACTTAAACAACCACCTGGCACATATCCTATTGATTGTATTCCTCCATTGAGCAAGGGGTTGGACTTGATGGCCTTATAGGCCCCTTTCAACTTCACTATTCCATGGTTCTATGATTTTATGTATGGAAATTTCCATTTTCTTAAAAGCCAAGGACTGACACTCCAAAGTATTCAAGAGGTCCTATTAGTAACATTAGGAGAAAGTGATACCTGCTAGGGAATTCTGCTACAATGTTAATCTTGGGAACAATCAAAATGTTTATAACAACAAAGTCCCATGAAATCATTTGAAATTAGTTTGGTCCCGAGCCTATTTACTGGAAGGGTGATCCTGCTGAGTTTGGGGAGACATATTTTCCGATAAGGATTGTTGCCTAGTATAAATACTGTATGCACTTCAGTTTCACTGACCTGAGTTGTTTGGAGTATGTTTTCAAAACAGGAAAGCATGTTGGAAATTACAGTATTTGAACAAATAATGCAAATAATTTCAGTGAGACTTCATTCCACCTTACTCTGGCAGTGTACTCTTGTTATACACCTAGAGATGTGTCATTTCATGTCCACATTATTAAGAATAATTAAGAATTACTGAGAGTTAATTTAAATGCACACTAAATGGCAAATCAAATTTGGGTCAAGTGAATGTTTTTGTGGTGGTCTAAGGCCAGCTGGGAGAAACATACAATTGGTAAGCAAATCTATAATAGACTGTTTTCCAACAAGGTTTAAAGTACATAGGAAACTGGCATGCTTGATTTGGGGATGCTGAGAAAATTTAAGGCTTGTAAAATAATAAAATTGCTCCTTTCTTCCTTCTGCCCCCTCCATATTTCACAAGATCAAATAGCCTTGCTACAGGGATTAGTAAAAACCACAAAGCCACACTTACCAGAATACCAGAGAAACAGATTCCTTCGAAATACCACACATAGTTGGTGAGATTGTTGCTGGAGGCATACCAAGATTTCCCATCAGGAAAATAAAGCAGGATATTTATAACAATGCTCCAAAGTGCCAGGAGTATTAATGAGCAACTCAAACAACCTCCACACTTTTGTAAGCCCATCTCTAAAAGACATGGGAGGTGGCAATTCTTTCCTTCCCCAAGTTGTCAAGCATTTACTTGCTTTCTTGCTTCGGTTGAATCATTCTGCGTGTGCAAGAACCAGTCACTATGATTTGATTCTTGTCAAACAAGCCCAGCGCCCAGCAGATAAAAGTTTTGCTCTTCTTAGGACAATAGACAAATGCCGCTGGACAGATTTCTTGTCTTGTCCTTGAAAATAGGGGTGGGGGTGTTCCTTTGAAGAATTTTGCCTCCAAAGGGAATTCTCTTCTGGCCCTGCTCAAAGACCTCAGTCAGTCAGCATTTTTTAAAAAAACAAAACAAAACAGGAACAAATTATGTAACTATGAACCAATGGCTGCCTACTTTTTCTCATCCTAGCAGAATGGAATTTGGCTTCTGTTTGCTTAAAAGGTAGCCACTGAAACTTAGGGTTCAGAGAACAAGCTTGCTCAGAAACTTTTCTCACTGACTTCATGTGCTGAGGCTTGATGAGCTATGGTGGATTTAGAAATCAACAACGTATTTGTCTAATTGCTACGATGAGACCAAAGTCAGTCCCAGGCTTCTCAAGACCCATAGGAACAGCCTGGGTGAGAAGCTAAACTTTATATATCATTCCCATAAAGTGTTTTGAGCTATCTCAAATCATCATGACTGGGAGATTGCCTCTCTTCTACATGCCCTGCTAATGTATTGTGGTGCTTGCCAAAGTACCACCCTGTGAGACTAATGGCAATTCACTTGGCAGCACATTATTGGGAGAAAGGTGGCCAATAAATAAAAGAAACAAAATAAGAACATATGAGTTTAACATGTTCCCCTCTTCTTAGGCTACAATCCTATATTTATATGCATGGATGAAAGCTCTACTGGAAAAGTAAGAGGGACAAATCATCTATATCAGTGTTGTGCATTTGTTTAGAAGTCCATTCCAATATTTCCTGCAATTTCTTTTTAAATGCACAAAATTAACATTTACATTCATAGTTTTATTTTATTTATTTATCCTGTTTACAAGCTGCCTATCTCTCCATAGACCACAGCTTTTGAATGCATTTTCTTAGAAAACATGTATTTCTAAATGTAGGCTCCCACAAACTATACTCTTCTAAATCTACATTGCACCAAAAAGGTCAGATTTCTGTATGCATTTTGGGGCTTTAAAAAAGAAAGAAAAAGCTGAGGACTGGGGTTTCAGTTCTGAGTAGGGCAGGACTGCACCATGGCAAAGTTTAGTTCTGTTGTTAAAAGTTGAGTTGTAGAATACTCTGAGGAAGCCACTACAGCTAAACAGGTGTAAAATCACACCTCTGTGTAGATCACTCCTTTATATTTCATCTGGCCTGATATCATGGTTACAAAGATGAACTTCCAAAGTCCTCACTTTCACTGCACACCAAATTTGAAAGCAGTCCTTTCGGATTGTATCAACATTTGTTTTTTAATCTTTTCTTATCTGGTTTCAATTCACAAGTAAGTTATTCACCCCTTCTGGTAAGCAAGACATTTGGAAAGCTGATAATTTACAGGAATATGTTGCAACTATTGCCACATTCAGGAATACAGCTGGGTAACTGATATTTCTGTTTACTGTCAAATAGCAGTTCAGCAAGAAAGAAGAAGAAACATTTCTCCCACCTACACACCTTTGGCATGATCTTTAAAAAAAAACCTTTTACCTGATGTTAATGCACTTTGAGGTTTGAAATAGCAGAAACGAAAGAATACTGTGTTCAGGCACTGTGTAGTGTCTTCTAAAATACAATCCATATTTTTATACTATGAGAATTCCTGTTACAGGCCTATTATTGAACACTCTGGCCAGAGTGGTATGATGTTCTATTCAAGAACTCTATTATGTTACTATAAGCTGTGTAGGGCCTGAAACCAGTGTTTAAGGTTCAAAGCACAACACAACATTTAAAATTACTTTATTATTACTTTATTATTTTTTTAAAAAAATACACATCCCACTATAGCTTATAGCAGACCTGGGCAAAGTGTGGCCCAAGGGCCACATACGGCCCGCGACCCACTCCTGTCTGGCCCGCGGACAGTTTTGAACATCAAAACCATTTATAGCTTTTTGTCTAAAGTTGATCAGTTGCTTATCTTTAACATACCGCAAAAAAAAAAAAACTCTTGAGAATTTGAAAAGTGAAAATTTGTGAAAAGAATTTAATTAACAAGTTTAAAATAAAAACAGTCATGAGAATTTGTGAAGTGAAAATTTGTGAAAAGAATTTGATTAACAAGTTTAAAATAAAAACAGTCATAACATCACTATTTCATTTTATTTTTAAGTAAAGTTGATTTGGCCCCCGAACACAGTTCAGATTTTTCATGTGCCCCCCTTATTAATTGCTTATAGCAACATGATGTTATATGAAGGCTCATTCAGAGTTCTCCTCATGTTACACATTTATTTATTAAGTTTGTATCCTGCTCCCATTAGTGTCACAGCACTACTCTGGGCAGGTTACAACTCGTAAAACAGAAAACAAAATTAATAATATTTAAACCAATATGTAGTAATAACCCTTAAAAAAAACACCATGTGGCACCGACAATGGATTGTAGAGACACTGATTTCATGGTAATGTTGGTTGTTTTTGGACACATGAACGATTTCAAAGAAAAAAAATGCATACAGCATCGAGATCTTGAGGATTCCTTTATTGATTTGTCTTGTTTTGTTTTTGAAAAACCTGCAATTTTCTTCATTTTCCAGTCCAGTTTTCTTTTATTTCTCTTTTATTTTCTTCACTACTCCCCTCAGCCATTTCAAATTGGTTGCATTTTTTTGCTACAGGAAGACATGTTACAAGAACTGTTTCAGACAGAACTGATCTGTCTATCAGTTATATATGCACTTTCCAAAAACATTCAGATAACCAGTGAGGATGAATTTCCAACCAGGATGAATTTCTAATGTGACAAAGTCACAGAATACATGGATTTGACATTCTTTTAAATTATTTTAGAATGTTTTAAATTGTACATTGTTTCATTTTTATTTTTTTCTGTAACCCTCTGAAATATTTTGATATAGGGATTGAATGAAATAAGTAAATAATAAAAAAGCCTAGTGCCATTAAACAGATTTACAGTTTCAAACATTTCTAATTCTCTGTACACTTTTGTCCACTTCAGCTCAACAAGGATATTGTAAAGCTAGAAAAAAGTTAGAGAAGAGCGACTAAATTGATCAAGTAGTTGCAGCAATTTTTTATGAGGAAAGGTTGCAATGTTTGGGTCTGTTTAACTTGGAAAAGGGACTGATGAGGCCACAGTATAAAAATTATGTGTGGTGTGAAGGAGGGGGAAAGGGAGAAAACTTAATCCTAATACTAGGATCCAAAGGAAGCATTCAATGAAACCAAACAGTGGGAAATTCAAAATAGATAAAGTATTTCAGACAGCATGTAGTCAAACTGTGCTACTTGCAACCACATTATCGTGGTGGCAACCATTTTAGACAGCTTTAAAAGGAGAATAGACAAATTCATGGTCTGTCAAATGCACTATGTCTCTAATACCAGTTGCTGAGGGTAATGGGAAGAAGGGTGTTATTGTCCTCATGTCCAGCTCATGCACTTCCTAGGCACATTTTCTTGGCCATAGTCTGAACAGAATGCTTGACTAAACAGGCTTTGATCTGTCCAAGAGAGTTCTTCTTACATTCTTAGCTACTGGCTTATATCACCACCAGTAGTCTCAGGGATTTTAGCCTGTAAGACTTTTATTGAGTCTGATGATGGCAGCAGGAGCTACAGCAGATCATGGGTGATGATCATTAGGACAAGGATTTCTATGACATGTCATATTTTCTTCTGCCAACTTTATTTCAATTTATAGCTAAGTTAAAACATGTTTATGAGTAATCTGGTGAGAACTGGGTGGTTTTTATTTTGCCTGGAAAGTCATATTTTGACTTTGCTACATCATATTTCTGCTTAATTTTGTAATAAGTGTCAACGTTTGGTCATATTTGGTTATTGGCAACCCTCTCACCAGTTTCAACATGTTTAAAAGTAGATGTTTGGCAAGTGTAAAATTTTGGCATTTTGTTCAAGAGTTTAGGGAATGGATTGTCCACGATGATGGTGGCATTTTGTTTTGTAAATTGTCTGAAGTTAAGGTGGTAGTCCAAAAGTGTTTTAATATTCAACAACATTGTGATACTGCAAAACATAAGAGTATTTTAGCAAGATATATCTTTCTGAGAACAGGCAATGTCTTCTTTTTGAAAGACCTTCTTCTTCAACTGCAGGTTAATTAAATACCCAGTCAAAATTTTATAAGGATCTCTGTATAATGATGGTTACTTCAAATATTGCCTTAAAGAAATTAGGTAGTGGAAACCTCAAAGATTTCTTGGAGAAGTACACCAGTCAACTCATTCCAAATGAATACTGCAATCCAAATGGCTTCTCTTCATCCTGGAGAGAGGTAACTAGTGGGGTGCCTCGGGGTTCTGTTCTGGGCCCTGTGCTATTCAACGTCTTTATGAATGACTTGAATGAAGGAATAGAGAGTATGCTGATTAAATTGGCAGATGATACCAAATTGGGCGGGTTTGCTAATTCCCCAGAAGACAGGATTAAAATTCGAAATAACCTTGACAGATTAGAGTCCTGGGCCAAAACTAACATAATGGATTTCAACAGGGACAAATGTAAGGTCCTACACCTAGGCAGAAAAAAAATGAACTGCACAGATATAGGATGGAAGACACCTGGCTAGACAACAGTACCTGTGAAAGAGATCTAGGAGTCTTGGTAGACCAAAAACTGAACATGAGTCAGCAGTGTGATGCGGCTGCCAAGAAAGCCAATGCAGTTCTTGGAATATAGTGTCTAGATCAAGGGAAGTGATAGTACCACTCTATTTTGTTTTGGTCAGAGCTCATCTGGAGTATTACGTCCAGTTCTGGGCACCTCAGTTCAAGAAGGATGTTGACAACCTGGAACGTGTCCAGAGGATGGCAACCAAAATGATCAAAGGTCTGGAAGCCATGTCCTATGAGGAGCAACTTAGGGATCTGGGAATGTTTAGCCTTACAAAAAGAAGGTTAAGAGGGGACATGATAGCCATATTTAAATATTTGAAGGGATGTCAATATTTAAATATTTGAAGGGCTCCAGACCCTAGGACAAGGAGCAATGGTTTCAAACTACAGTGGTGCCCCGCATAGCAACGATAACCTGTGCAGCCAAAATCGCCACTATGCGGATTCGTTGCTATGCGAAATAAAAAAGCCCATAGGAATGTATTAAAACCCGTTTAATGTGTTCCTAGGGGCAAAAAACTCCCCTTTAAGAGAAAATTCTCCATACGGCCGCCATTTTCACTGCCTGGTAAGCGAGGAATCGGTGCAAAAACACAGCGGGTGGCCATTTTTTTAACCTGGTGGCCATTTTGGAACCGCCGATCAGCTGTTGGAAAAACATCGCTATGCGAAAATCGGTAAGTGAAACAGCTTACCGGTCATCGCAAAGTGATTTTTTTCCATTTAAATCATCGCAATGCGATCACTTTTGCGATCGCAAAAACTTAATCGCTATGCGATTCGTCATTAAACGGGGCGCCCATTAAGCGAGGCACCACTGTACAAGAAAAGAGATTCCACCGATATCTCAGGAAGAACTTCCTGACAGTCAGAGTTCGTCGGCAGTGGAATATGCTGCCTCAGAGTGTGGTGGAATCTCCTTCGTTTAAGCAGAGGCTGGATGGCCATCTGTTGGGAGTGCTTTGATGGAGTTCCTGCATGGCAGAGGGTTGGACTGAATGGCACTTGTGGTCTCTTCCAACTCTTCTATGATTCTGTGATCTCTAAGGAAAATTACATCTTTGCCTGCTATGAAGATGTGTTAGGAAATATAAGGTCTGCTGTTGACAACAATAAGATATGGGTTTCAATAGATGAAACAAATGATGTGAAGGGAAGATATGCAGCTAATGTTATTATTGGCTCTATGAAATGTGACAAACCTGGTGAAGTATTTATTCTAACATGTGAAACTCTACAAAAAATAAACAGTTCCACTATTGCTATGCTCTTTGACGATTCTATGAAGCTACTCTAATCAGATGGTGTAAAAAGGGGAAACACCCTCCTCTTTGTAACAACACCTTCCTCTTTGTAACAAATGACTAAGGCAGCCAAGGGATTTGAACTTCTTTATCTTAAAATGACCAATATCACATGCCTTGGACATGGTTTACACAGAATGGCCAAAGAGATTCGAAGCTAATATCCTGATGTAGATAATTTCAAATGGGAAAAAAATTTATTACATCTCTACTCAAATACAAAAGTTCAAATAAATTCCTCTTACTCTGGATCTTCCTCCTCAATCTGTTGCAATACATTCAGGAACTTGGCTGGATGAGTCTATATATTATTCCACAAATTATTTTTCCTTGTAGTGAATAGTTAAATAATTTTACTGTTGTGAATCCATCAAGATTGTGCAATATTCCCTTTCTGAAACCTTGTCTGGAGAATTGGCATATATAAAATCTAACTTCAGTGGATTATCAAGAGCAATCACCTGAAATATAGAAGTGAAACTAAGTGATGCACTGAAAATTGTGCATCACTGAGGGTGATTTAAAATGAACAAAGGGGAAAGTGGCTTTAAAAATTAGTGATAAACTGCAGAATGCTACAATCTAATCTTGGTTATTCAACACTGCAAAATAACATTCTAAATGTATTTGAAGCAAAATCTCATGATTTTGAGCCAGAATTTCTCCAAATGAGTTGGCTTTTTTCAAATTTGTTCCTAATCTCTTGTGATGTTGAATGGATTTTATGTCACACTAACAGAAGGAGTTTTGAGTTTGATAATGTGATCATCCATTGCAATTCTTCTGTGGATGAAAACTAATCCAGGTATGAACAATCTACTCTCAAAAAGTTCATTTGATTCCTTGAATAATAGCACTTTTGCACTGGAAGTGAAGAAAAATAAACCTTTTAATTTTTATGTGTGTATATAAGCACAGATTTTTTAAAAAATTTGGGTGATAATTTCAGAAAAATTGAAAAGTGATTTTTTTAAAAATTGGTCATATTCAAATGCATATTTCTGACATGTTTGGGTCATAGAAATCCTCACGTTAATGATCATAATAGCTTGTGGACTGCTGAGGGAAGACTCTCTCAACATTTTGGGTGAAGCATGCTCCATTTGGTCCACATCTTTGACCAGCATTTGTCACCTACTGCAACTTCCATGCCTATCATGTCAGTAAATCCATCGTAGATACATACGAAAATCTATCACTGAAAAATAGCTTAGCAACCATGGGGAACTGTATAATAGACTGTCAGAATAATCCTTAAAATTTCTCTTTCAAACTAAATTCCACTGAGTTCAATAGGGCTGACCCACAAGTAAATGGCAGGATTGCTGCCTAAATGTTCTTGTGGTTATTTGGACTAAGTTGCTGCTGACAATATAATTTCTGTATATAAACTAATTTATAGGGAAATTTGTAGAAAAAAGTGAATTGAAATTGCTCATTTACCTGCAAGGTAGTACTCAGAAACAATGTATGTAACCTTAACAAATGTTCTCCTAATAATAATTAATTTATATGATATATAAAACAAATTATAAGTTTACAGGTTTGAAAAGTCAGCTCAAAATACAGGCATAATTGCAGTGAAGCATGAGATGATCTCAACCAGTTTTGAAGACTGAACACGTTAGCAAGGGCATCTCTGTAAAAGAAAAATAAAATAAAAATACACATATGTGATAAATGCAAGAGAAAAAATATTCCAGAACAAGATAATTTCAGACATACAACATAAATACTGTAGTAGCTTAATGAAATTCGGGAGCCATTTTATTTCTAAATCAGTGTCAGCTGATTATATTATTTATTTATTTATTCATTTATTTGTTCATTTATTTATTTATTCGATTTATATCCCGCCCATCTGGTATATTCTACCACTCTGAAAATAGCATGGTAATAAATGGCTGTAAATAATGAGTTCCTTGTAATTAATGCCTTTGTGCAATTATGAAGGCATAACTACATAACAGTGAAGCCATAACTAATGATTATAAGAAGGAATATCTTTACGTCTTTGATGTGGAATTGTAATTATTTTAATTACTTTTATAGTTACAGTTGAACCTGAGCTAACCTGTATATGTTTTCTATTGCAGACCAGTAGTCTGTACCATTGTGATGGATTCTTCTAAAAGTAACTAAAATGTAGCTATTTCAGTTAATTTAGATAAACAGAAAATTCAAACTGAATTTAAAATTGTAACTTTAATTAACTTCCTGGATGAGCTGCGATTATAACTGCAACTAGTTATTTTTTTCAAAAATATGATTCCTAACCATCATGTAGAATTGTTTAAAAGATCAAATAAAGTCTGAGGCATTTCCTGGTACCATTTCAGTGTATAAAGGATAGAAGTACAGTTAGCATTGTGCTTAAGTTTAAAATTTGAGCTGCACTTTTTATATTTCATTAACCCACTAAGAATTCCAGTATCACGCCAAATTGGGCCAACCTACTGCCAAGAAGATTATGTCACTTTTGTTTCTTGGTATTATGATCTGTTACACAATTACATGCAGGGTTTTTTTGTCCCATCACACTGGCTGATACAAAAACAAGACAAAGACAAACCAAAACAAAAGCCCACTTGAATACCAAAAAAAGCAAACTATTTGTGGGAGGAAATATTGTTCCATCCATCTTTTTCCTTTGAAAAACTGTACATGCCCAATGAATGAAACCTGGGAACCATGTTCATAATCCTTTGGGAGACAATGTCATAGAATGCCTACATTTGCATTCTGTGTGAATCCTGTGAGAAAACATGACTCTAGAAGAACTAAAATATCCCAGCATGGGATATGGGATGCCTAGAGACCTGTTTTATTGGAATGCATTAATGAATAGACTTGCATTGAATTGGGCTCTGCTTTGGATACTTGGTGGATGAATGTCCAAATTGAAGAAAATTATATCTGGCCTTGCATGGGTATTTCCTTTCCAATGAAAAAACAAAGCACATTAAATGCAAGATGTGTTGTTGAGGAAACTAATGTGATCAGATGTCTTTTGCTACTTGTGCTTATATCTGTTGACTCATCTGATCCCTGATTTTACCCTTAGTGTGGCACTATTGACCATTCATACTGCAAGTTACATTCTACTGTGCAATTTTTGCAATTCTACTCAACAAGAATTAGATTATTTGGCCTATACCACCATGATATGATTCTCATGAAAAGAAAATGTTCCAAAGAATTAATGGCTGAAAGTGAAATGTGTAGTACGGTGCTTTAGTCTCACTAGATTCTGATATGAAGAGGAAATTAACTGTACATGAGGATTACTGGTCATACAAAAATCAATAATAGAGCCACAGTTACACACACACACATACGCACGCACCATTGGTACTCACTGCCTGCTGGGGCCTGTGTTCAAGAACTGGTCCAGAATTGTTCATAAAATCTCTGCTAATTGTCTCCTGAGGCACACCTGTGGCACTCTTTAAGGTGAGATGGGAATTAAATCTTGACTAAAAGACAGTTGTGCGTTCCATTTGCATTGCACTGCCTGAATTTAGTTTGTGTGAGCAATTGTCACCTACCAGGAAAGTACTTCAAAGAAACAGTTTCAGAGTTTTTCCCAAGAGTGCTGGAAAGATTTAGATCCATTTTACACATTTACAGGACTGATATAGAGTCCTTGCCCACCCTTGCCTCCACCAAGAGTTCCAAGAGCTACACTAGCAGCAGAAAGTGAGCTTGTATGGGCCACTTTGGAGTGGCTGGGCTTGATCAAAACAATTTAATCAACCTCAACCGTTCACACAGAAGTGGCTCCTGCCATTTCCATGTGAACAGTCAGACTTAATGAGATTGTTCTATTAAGCCAGAGAGTTCCTGAGCCAATATTGTGAAATGGCTTGATAAGCAAGCTACTAACAGATATTGGCAAATTAATCACTTGCCTGCTAAGCAGAGGGCAGAGGGAGTGAAAAAAAATGTGTGGGATGAAAAGGTGGACCAAGAATTTCAGACGGAGCTCAGTGGGGCCCATTCATTTAAAGAAAGAAGGCAAGATAGACATGCACACACAGGCGCTGTCAGGCGGGATTGGCATGTTGCACACACACGCATGCACACTTCCATGCTCATGTTTACTTGTTCGGTCACCCCATTTCCTTCCCCACCACAAAACTTTGAAATGGTGTACACTGTCTGGCTCTAGTGGCCAAACCCCACATGTTCTTGAACATGCAACATGAACATATATACACATGTATGTGTAAGTGCAGAAAGTGGAGCAGGAGGGAGAAAGATCGGTACAATTTCTGCTTCTCCCCATCCCTTCGTGTGTATGAACAAATCCCAGCCTTACACTGGAGCAGTCTAAGCAATCACACAGGAAGAAAATAGTGTTTATATGGACCAATCCTAATTGTTCAAAATAAACAGAAGGCTCCAACCATAGACCAATCTAGGATGGATTGTTCTCCACTAGACATGGGTTGGAATGCTCTAAGAATAAGGTCATGTAGTTGATTTTTAGAGCATTCCCAACCATTCCAACTGGGGGCTAGAGAGTGGGCTAAACTGCCATGTAGGTGACATTTTAAGGACCTTCTTGAAGGGGGGAAAGTCTCTGTTCTAAGGTTCTAGATCTATACACCATTTCCCAAATGTCCTGCTCCTGCTGGTAGCATTTATATGAAACAGATTTCCACACAACTGTTTGGAACTCAGAAATCTCAGTTAAATCAAGGTCATGAAGCATATATTTAACTTTCTTGATATTCTACTCTTATTTAACTAGGCCTTCAGTGTGAACTAATTCTTTACTGTTCCCCCACCCTCAACCAATGCATGATGACTTTTTTGTTTTATTGCATTTTAATTCTTATTGTGTGGAGCTTTGCAAAAAGAAAAGAGCAATCAATGAATAATAGAAATTTTAAAAACCCTTTGAATCCACTGCCAAAACACAATGACTACCCGAATGACACAGATATAATACCTGTACTTTCATGGTGAGTCAGTTTATGAAGTGTTTTGTTTGACATCAAACAATCTACTTTTGGAAAGTTTAGAGAGCTGTTTATAGGCACTTACCTCTGTGTCGCTATGACACACAGCCCATGCTCCTCCTATACAGCCATTTATTATATGAATGGCACAGAGAATTGCTTCGATCCCACTCAAGATCAGTGAGATGCAGAACAGGCAGATATTCCATGTAGCAGCATTGTTCGTGTACTCTGGACACGGACACAATTCAGGGTGATCATTGTGGTACCTGTTGAAACCAATTTACAATCATTTGTCTCCGTGGAAGGAGGGTGGAAAGGCAGCATGTAAACACAAAATTAATTCCTTTACTAATCAGAAAGCCATTGTCACCGTTTTATTTTTTCAACATTCATCTGAAGATGTGTGTTTCTCTATTCTTATGCTAGAGTGAACTTATACATCTCTCTTACAAAAATGCAGGGTGCGGGGAGGACAAAGAGCTCATCATTAAAATGTGGGGTTGGATGTCACAAGATACAAGGATAGCCACACCAGCCAGGAGATCTTTGAAAGGGAAAAGAATAAAGTCATGAAGGTTACATCCATCAACGGCTAGTACAGCTATAGATCACTGCCAGTACTGGAGACTGTATGCTTGGATATAACAGTGGGTGTTGCAGGATGGAGGATGCAATTGGATTCGTGTCCTGCTCCCAGGCTTCCCACAAGCAACTGACTGGCCAATATGTGAACTGAATGGTAGACCAGGTGGGCCTTTGCTCTGATTCAGCATGTCCGGTCTTCTTTGCCTCATTAGAACGGTTATTCTTCCTTATGGCCAGACTTCCTAGCTAAACAGTCATCTCAGAGACAAACGAAACATTAAAAACAGCATGTAATTAGAAAAGGGAATTCTGCAAGTGTTATAAGACACCTGTTAATTTTCACACTTGTAGTTTGCAGTTGCCTTGCTTTGTGTTCTAGACATGGACTTTTTTGGGGAAATATGATTTATCAGATGCAGACCTGCGCAGGAATCACATTTCTAGAAGACTGACAACATGTCAGCTCCTAATCACATGCCATCTGTGACATATAGTCTGCATCTCAGAAAATAAATAAATAAATAAATAAATAAATAAATAAATAAACAAACAAACAAACAAACAAATAAATAAATAAATAAATAAATAAATAACAGTTTCCAGTGTGTCGCAACAGCTTAGGGTGAGGAGAACGTTTGTTCCTTTTTACCATGTAAGGAGGAATTAAATGAAGATTTACATACTAACATCACAAATTAGCAAGTCATCGTTGGAGCATTTCAATAAGATTTGAGAACGAGAAAGCAGTGATATAATGGAGAGGGAGCTCAGGTGAACACACTTTCAGGGCTTTTTCTAGTCCAAGAATTGTGGTGATCTCTGCCAGAGTTCCAGAACAATTGCCAGCTCCTCCTTGCTCTGGTACGTGAACAGAATTTTATCCGCTTATGTGACTGTTTAGCAAAGCAAAAGTCAGAGATTGACGGTAGTAATCAAGCAGAAGCAGGATATTTCTTTTCTTTGATGAACTTCCTGCTTCACGCTAGCATGTTAAAATGGTAGAGGAGAAAGAACCTAATGGCCTACATATGTTTTGATCAACAACTCCCATCATCCTTGATTAGAAATCATACTGACTGAAGGTAATGTGAGTTGTAGTCCAAAGCATCTGTAGGGCAGTGGGTTTCCCTGCATCCCCATCCCATTTCCCGACTTATTTGGAAATCCTTTACATTAGTTCAGCTTTTCACTGACCCAGTTATGACTGAAGCAGCATTGGGACTGACAAAATTAGAACATGCATAATCAAAAAGTGTTCCATTACAAATACATTTATTGCCTATTTAAAAATTAGGCGTCATGCAGACGAGGTCTATCCAAGCCTTTTTGCTGACATTCAGGAATTGTTTCATGTTGGGAGAATATCCCATCATGTCAATCCCTATTTTCAGTCTCCACTGGTATATTCGAGACACAGGTTGGTTGCCTCAAAGAAAATTAAATGTATGACAGAAAAAAGGAATAAAGAATAAAGCAGTTTAGCTTGCATTTCTATAGACACTTATCTAGGAACAAGAGCTACAGAACACAGTGGGTTTGCATAGAATCATGCTGTTGAGAACCAATTTATTTGATACAGTGTTTTGTGGTTCACACCTTAAGTTGTTCCAGATCTGATTTAACACACACACACACACACACACACTGTGAATCAGCCAGTTCATTCAACTTCAGAGCAATGTTCAGAATAAGCAAATACGTGGGTATGACTTTTTTTTCACAATAGGGCACACTGGTAAAAAATGAAAGCGTTGGGCCAGGTTATAGGCAGCTCTGTGCACAGATCAGTAGATATCCAGCAAAGGTTCTCACAGAGCCTCATGAAATGCTCTGAGGCCAGTAGTACTTCACTGTGTGCCTAATTAAAGGGCATACAAATTACGGGCGACCCACCCTGTCCCTTTTAAGCAACACTGCAATTCACTCTGTCCTTGGATCTGTGACATCATTTGTGCATTTACATATCTCTATTAAAAGAAAACAAATTCCTGCAAATGGGTGGGAAACATGTCCTGGTGGAGGGCTACATAGCATTCTCATTGTGTGACATATCTACGACAATTGTCCTTCTACAATCCACATACATTCAATCCTAAGAGGGTAAAAATATTTAAGTAGAGTTTAATAAACTACATACGTTGAGTGAAAAATACAACAACTATTCCAGATACTCTAAACAGCAACACAAGTCTTTTACTTCACTCTACGGCTCTGCAAAATGGATGGTGGAGCAGTTGCAAAGGGATGTATACCTCAATCTGAGCCCTCCACAGAACGTAGTGGTTGGCGTGTCCAGGGGAGATCTTGAGAGACTCTCCTGTCACTTGCCTTCTCTTTTGGCACCAGCTAGTCAGTCTACTGTATTACTGTTGATTTTTTCTTTCTCAAATTCATAGTAATGACCTTTTATTTTAACCACACACATTCCAAATGTGATACAAAGGATCTGTTGCATTGTTGCTCCACCCAGGATGAACTGCAGCTCTTTGCTCTGCCCTGTAGTTGCCCCTGAATTATACTCCTGGTTTAGTTCACGTTTACACATTTGTCTGGAAACAACACACCTGCCTAGTCAGAATGTACCATTCAGCAATATTGTGTCTACTCTAGTTGAAATTACCAACTGGATTTAGGTCATAGTGTGTAACTGGTATGCTATGGGAGAGACTACATACCCTCTAGCAGAATCAAGAGAATGATGGCAGCCAGTTTTGTCATCTACGGGAAAACAATGAGGTTCATTGGCTATGCCCAGAGCTGAAATGATGAAACAGTATCCCGCACCAAGAAGGCCAATGCAGGCTAAACAGACTGATGCCAGGAGCTACAATACAGAAACAGAATGGAAATGTTACATTTTCTGCATGATCCTGATTGGCTCTCCTCTTTAAAAGACTGGCCTAGGGGAAAGTACACTTACAGCACAATTTCTCCTATGGTTCTCACGGGGGCAGCAGTCATGGAAATGTTGATGTTCTAATCCAATAAACACACATGCTGGGATCATCACCTGGTTTTGAAAAAGAAGGAAAGCAGGACTATCACCTTCCATGTTGACGGATTGCATCTCACACATCAACCTCGGTTTGTAACCAGCTGTCTCTGATCATGCCTATGGATTCATTCTGCTTGATTTGTTATCTTGCTCAAAATAACAACACATCACTGTTTGTCTGCTTCCACAGACAAATAGTAAAATTTTTGCAGATGTTTCTTATACTCACAGGACTTGCAAAGAAGCCAAAATGTGACCAAGCACTGGACACCTTAACTGGACAACCAACCAATTAGAAATGGTGTGCTACACTTTTCCACAGATGAAAGCCACATAAGCCAGGCCAGCAAGCACCACGATCACAAGCAGAGAGAAGGGGCAGCATGGAAAGGTGTAAAAGGTAAGCGACAGAAACACCAAATACATAAAGTATCATTTGAAGGCTTCTAGACCACATATAAATGCACAATCTAGGGCTGTGGTAATATTATTTGTGCAGAGTTTTAAAATGTTAAACACCCAACATTAGTAGTGCTCTGCTTTAAAGCACAATTCATCATCACTAAAGGCTATTGCTTGGGGAAGGAAACATTTTAAAGCATTTAAAAAAATCTCTTAATTCCTCTTATTTTCCCAAACAATAATTTACAGTCATGAATAAATGTAGTTGTTTTTTAAAAAAAGATAGTAGTTAATGTCATTGACATTATAGTGATTAGAAGAAACAGTAATGATCCTCATTACTGAAAGAAGATATAGAAAAGAAGTGACAAGCATCGTTGTCACCCCTAACATGTTAATTCCACACACTGTAGATATGTATGTAATTTAATCCATGTAAATCTCTGAAATAACACAAGTTCTTATTAGAGAAATTATATGTGTGGGAGGACTGTGAGCCCAGTTAGTTTCTTATTCTCAGAAGAATTCCTGAGCTCAGATTCTTTCCATTCTGAGAGTTCATCTCTTGACTCCGGTTGTTAGTGCACAAATATTCACTTTTAGCCCCAGGACACGATCAAATGACACGTAATGCACCACATGTGGCAAAGCCAAGCAGGATTTGCATGATGCCTAGAAACTCTATGGTTGGGATCCTATTGGTGCTCTCAGAAGATCTGAGTTATCAACTGTGGCAAATTGTAACTAAGTGATGAGGTGCCAGGATGCACCTTGCTTGCATGCTCAAGAAAATGACCAGGCAAAAGAATAAAGTTGTACCCCAGCACTTTGTTAATTAGCCACAGTAAGCTGCACAAGTTAAGCAAACCTTATAGGTTATACAAAACCAGTAGGATTCTGGCCTATATAGACTGCCTTCGATTCACGGAAGAGAAATGGAATATAATTTTTTTAAATGTTATGTTTCATACCAGTCTTTCCCAAATCATGGTCAATTAGGCTACAATCAGGTTACAATGGTTCAGTACTCTTCATCTTCACAACTTAACAACAGCCTCTGTTAGGGCTGGTTTCAGTCCCACCAATGTAAGAATATTGCCACATGGAGGGTCCCTCATGCTGGCATTTGAAGGAACTATGTTTCCACTATTATCTGCTCACCTGCTTTTCTGCTGAAAGCAAAAATATTAAAGAAGCAGCAGAAAGGGGTGTAAGTGAAAGATGCATTAGAAGCCACCATAGAATTTAGTGAACAAGGAAAAGTGTTGGTGTAATAAAAGCCTCGCCTAAATCTACTCTGAAATGGGAGAGCAAATATAAGACTTTGCAGTGTTTCTATTATATTGGGCCAGAACCTCCTTATCTACCAACTGGAACCAGATGCAAGGAACATGCGTTTAGAAATGAAGGGAGTCTGAGCTCACTTATGGTTTGGTATACAAAAACAGAACTGGGCTCAGAGTTCACACATTTTGGGGCAAGCAATTTCAAAAAACCTTAAGAACATGGCCAAACAACCTGGAAAACTCACAACAACCATCGGATCCCGGCCGTGAAAGCATTTGATAATACAATTTCAAAACTATTTAATTGATCCGATCATTGGCACTCACAAAGATCATCACCTCCCACAGATAGCCACATGTCAACATTGAATATAATAGCAAGACTTCCAATCCACTTAAGCAATGGTTCTCAACCTCAGGCCCTCTTGATATTTTAGACTACTGTATCTCTCGGACCCCATGGCTCATTGGCCACACTGGCTGGGGCTTCTGGGAGTTGAGAGTCCAAAACATGTGAAGTGCCAAAGGTTGAGAACTACTACTACAAGGTACCATGGACATTTTCTGAAACAAATACCCAGCTGCTTAAAGAAAGGAACCATAAGAATATACATTCCCCGAAAACTAACAGGAAGAATATTATTCATTACTCACCAAAATACCTCCTCCTATTATGCCATGAAGACATCCCACATATGTGTTGAGATGGACATGACTTCTTTCACCATTGGGGAAATAAAGCAAAACATTTGTCACAATGCAGAGTACAGCAAGAACAAGTAATATGTACCCAATATATTTAGCACACCGCCCATAACACATGGTTCTTGCTGTTTTGTGAAAGTATGCTCTTTGGAGTAATCGCTAAGTTAAATGAAAGAGCAACTGGCATTAACCTGCCTGAGAAACAAAAGGGAGAGAGTAAGCCATGCTCATCCGTCTTAAATACTCTGTATTACCTAGTTACCTGGATGATGATTACCTATAGACATGAATGTCAGTCAGGATTGCAGAATGGCAGACCCAAGAGAAGCTCGATGTCTCATTGCCCACTGGCAATCAAACAACTGTCAAATTGCTACAGCTCTTCAGCTGACCTGAATGTTTCCATATAGGAAAGAATACTAGCATATGTGGTCACACATGAATAACAGGTTTTTAAACATGTGCAGCTTCAAAAAAAAAAATCTGGAAAGGTATAAGATGGTGAGAAAAGAGGAATAAAACCAAATGCAGTGCTTCTGCCTCACACAATATGAAGCTGTTGATTTATTTATACCATTTTTCCAAACAGATAAAAGCATTTTGTGACATGCCCAAAAGGCTAGAATACAAAGAGAGCGGGAAAGGAAAGGAAAGGACAATGGCAACAATGAATCAGCTACAAATTTTAAAAAGATAACAAGGTCCCAGATCAACCAGTCAGAAAAGACATTTTAATAAGTGGTAAGCTCAGTGGTTTAAGGTATCTGGCTGCAGCAGTGGTAAGCTCAGTGGTTTAGGTATCTGGCTGCAGAGCCAGAGACTGGGAGTCAGTGTTCCTCTGTGCATTCCAGAAAAGCCAGTATTCTCTACCTAGAAACCCCTGAAAATGGTCACCGTAAGTCAAAATTGACTTGAAAGCACACGGTTATTATTATTATTAACATATTAAATAATAGTAAATTGGGCAGTGGATGGGTAGCATGTGACCAGCCAGATGTTTTTTGACAGCAGTTCCCATAATCCATCACCAATAGGAATCTTTGCCGAGGGCTGGTGGATGTTGTATATCAGCTATTCTCAACCTTTATTTTGCCCACAACTATTTTAAGAGCTCTTCTCAGATTCCAGGGTCCTTTTTTAAACAAGGAAAGTTTTTTCCCATATGCAAACAAGGATACAACATGAACAGATGATTCTGTGGTCACTTTCAAATGTGCCAGGTCCCCCAAGGGAATCTATGGCTTACACTGAGAATGGCTGTTGTAGACCAAAAACATATGGAGGGACACAGATCTGAGTTAAATCCTGATCACATTTACAAGTTCACATTGATTTCAGCTGGATTTATTTCCATGTCCTTTTTATTGGCGCCAGACCCACCAGATGGCCTTGCTTAGGTCAAACCAAACTAACCTTATCTTTCACACAGTTGCTAATGTCTCGCCCAGCAAATGCATAAGCAAAGCAGTGTTGTCATTTCTCTCTCAGTATTGAGAAATCTGTAGGACAGTTGTGGGCTGCGAAGGTCAATGGAGTGAGAATGACTGGAAACGGTTCTAAATAGTGAGCTGCAGGGTTGACACGTTTTCTATAAAGATAATTCCAGCCAAGCAGCAAAGGAAGGCTAAGAGACGGTATGAGAAAATAACCTACATTTAGAGTCACCTTCCACATTCCAAAACCCCAGCCAGACAAGCTGGGTGTGAGTAGAGAAACAACAGAAATGTTCTGAGAGTCAGACTGCAGCTTTTGTGTAAGATTAAAAACTGAACGGTAAAGGGAGAACAGGTTCTGGAAAGTGCATTTTGGGGAACTGCCGGTCTCTGGATATCGAACGTAGCAGAGAAAAATTAGAAGAACATTGGGGTGTTAATCTGTGCCACTGTGGGCCTTATGGAGCATTTGAACTCCTATTTTGCAACCATCTCAATACCACAAAAACTGCAGAGTCAGGAGATGTCTCCCAAATTGCAGAGGTTTTCTCCCCTGTTCTCTTCTTTTACTGTCCCCTTTTAGAAAGTGAGAGGTACTCTTACAGGTCTCTGTATAGCAGGAGGATGCTATGGAAACAGGAAGTAGCCAGGAGAGTCCAGGCGACTGGTGCTGAATTACAACGTCAACTATGGCAGTGGCAGCTGAATTGGGATCTATGCATCAGCAACTACATCAGCAGCAGTTGAGGCTTGAATGAATTTAGAGTTGACTGGTCCAGTGAAGATCACCAAACATGGGATGTCCCACCCCCAGCTATATACTAATGAATAATCTCAGAAAAGTTCAGTTCACAGAACACTATGACTTGGGAAGATGGAGATTCCAATCTCAATATGCTGCTGGAACAAACTCACAGACTTGCCAATAAGCTTCAGTGGATACAGTGGTACATAGTTATGAATAAATCTCTCTCTTTTTTAAAACTGGAAATTGTCTCTTTTTTGGTTCAGCTGGCAGAGGTGGTTTAAATTTTTTGTTATTGGTTTCACACTGCTTTTGTCCACTTCCTGCCCAGCAGGATCATCTGATCTGAAGCAAAGGGGTGTCAGTTCCATTCAACCAAGTGCCCTTTGTGCAACAAAATTTCTCCTCAACCCCTTTGTGGTTCAACATGCTGTAGCTAGGGCATTTAAGAGGACTAAATTACAGAGAAAGAGAGGAAGAGAGAGAGAGAGAGATGGGATTTGCCAATTAGCAACCTGTTAGCACCTTAACACAGCTTCTTCTGTTGGCTGCTGCTCAATTGTCATCTGGATGGTTACAGTGATCCTCCCAGGGAAACCTGATTTGATAAACTGTATTTTTCCCAATGTGTAGTTGCACACTTATTTTTGAGAAAGCACTGTGTAGTTGCACACTTATTTTTGAGAAAGCATGTACCACACATAATCCAATCCATTTTAATTCTGTCTGTCACTCTCTTGATGTTTGCCTTGTGTCTATGCATTACAGGATTTTACTTCTGTTTCTTAATTCCATTATGACCTTTTAATGCCCATGCATCCTCATAAACTTATGGTTTCCTGAAAGCAAAAGGTACAATTGTGAAGTCACTATATACACATTTAATTTGTGCTAAATCATCATCATCACCATCATTATTTTAGAACTGCAGAGATGGAAAAGACCCTATGGATCATTGAGTCCAGCCCTTGTCAAGAAGGCACAGTGGGGGAATCAAACTCCCAACCTCTGGCTATGTCTTTCATTAATCATTAAAAAAAAACGAATAATGGAAGAAGAATGGTCCAACATGGAAACAGAACAAACCTTTTGGTCTATCATTTTTGCTACATGAAACTCTAAAACATTTTCATGGTAGAAAGGTATTTGCCCTAATAAAATATTGAATGAAGCATCAACAGTGACAAATCCTAAGTGCAATGTGGATTACTCACCTCCCTTGTACAAATATTTGCAGGAGAGTGGATGAAAATCTTCCTACGAACAGAATGCTATTTTTAGCTAGCATGAGTAGATGTGGTAGAAATTGCAGTCAATCACTCCATTAATTTGTGCTATCCAACCTACCTTACTGATTCATGAACGTTTGTACCATCCATGATGTCCATGTTTCAGATTTGGGAGATGATGTGGCGATTTCCTGTTCTGTTACTATTCTGTGGTCCATATCAGTTCTCAGAAGTAAAGAAAACTGGGGAAAAGGTTAAGAAAACTGGGGTGAAGGCAGGGAATCATGAGAAACTGCACCTTGCTTCAAGGAGAATCATTATTCCTGGTGTTTTGCAACAGAGATTCTGTTGTTTTGTTTTGTTTAGACTAGATTTGCCAGAACAAAACCCAGCCAACAAAAAATACAATCAACAGATTACGTTTTCAAAGCTCGCCTTATATGCTTACAACAACCCAGTCAGATTGTGGGTCCAGTGCATGAGGAGAAAATACCCTGGGAAATGTTTCTTTTTATCTAGACCTCCCAGAATCCCCCAGCTATCACGGCTAGTGGTTATGTTAGATGGGAAATTCTAGGAGTTGTGATTTTTTTTTTTAAAAAAAGGAAATGTTTCCAGCTGTGAGAGAAGAAGGCAGGGAGGCAGGAAACGAGAAAACATCCCAGGACTTGTTCTAGTTGACAAGTCAGTCGGCCTTTCCCATCAGCTATCAACTGGCCTGTGCAAAGGATTCAAGGAATAAGGGAATCTGTTGACCTGGTTTTGTTTCACCTCGACTCTCCCTTACCACCTACAAACCCCAGCATCTACCACCACCTGCCTGTATAGGAACAATTCTAAAAGAGAGAGAAGGAGGCAGGCTGTCAGGATGAATGCCTGTGCTACAAAAGTTTTCCACTACACCACAGGTTCTGACTCACTCTGGGGTACCTTTATAGGATAATGTCTCCTTATAATTAGTATGAACTATTATTATGTTCTAACTAGCTTGCCTTATGTAGCTTGCTTTATTGATCAGCAGCTTGCTGATATGTTGACTCAGATGCAGTGCATGTGGCAGGCAGGGCCTATTTTCAGAATTGCAGGCTTTGTCTGCAAGGAGTTGAAGTCAGTTGGGTAGGACCAGGTGTTTTTTAACAAAAAAAATGGCAGTGACCCTTGGGAACTGTTGTAGCAGCTCCTCCCAATCTGTGTAGACACTGGCCTTGACTATTTCCTCCAGAACATGACAATATCCTCCCCATCTTATCAGATTAGACAGGATTTAAGTGACACTGTTTTGGCTTTAATAAGTTTAAGTCAAAGGTAAACATAACCCACGGGTTTCCTCTGTAGAAGGGGAAATCCTATCCTATCTTATTGAATAGTGGCCTGTTGAGAACTTCCTTTGTTTTATTAGTTTGTTGTTGCTTAAAATGTTGCTTGTAAGAGATGGCATCAGATCATTTCAAACGTAGCTTCTTCCAACATAAATTTGCAGTGATTTCTCAGCATCACTATGAGGTTTGTTTTTTTTGGGGGGGGGGTAGGCCACCCATGATAACAGGACAAGAGTTTAATTAACCACAGCAAGGTTATATGAAGACATGGAAGATCTTGGAAAAAAACATCAACCAGTATAGCAAACTTGTATTTACGACATTTGTGATTGCAATGACAGAAGAAGGACTTTTCTCAGTAGTGTGCTTGTCACTGATACATAACAAATGT